TCGAATTGTCATTGTTAGATGGCCTCGAAGGTCTCCTTGAGGCGTCGATGCTTGCTTGGCTGGTGGCACTTAATGTCAATGCACTAAGTGATCTTCACCTTTTGCAGGTGCTGACATATGTGGCCGAGATAACGGAGCCGAGGTATCGCGGCATTCTGTCGGCGCTGGGCACCACCTGTGTCATCACTGGCGTCTTTGTACAGTTCATACTGGGCTCCCTCATGGACTGGCGCAGCGTGGCGGCGGTGAGCGCCGCCTTCCCSGTCATTACGATWGTCATGCTGTGCTTTGTGCCCGAGAGCCCCATTTGGCTGATACGGGAGGAGCGATACCGGGAGGCCGTCAAGTCGCTGCAGTGGCTGCGCGGCTGGGTGCCGGAGCATCAAGTGGAGACGGAGTTCAATCGCCTCTACGATGAGCTGGTCACCCAGAAGGCCATCGAGGAGGCCACCGAGGGCAGTGGGGCGTTGCCTGGTCAGCGCCGCACGCTGAAGCATCGGCTGCGRATGTGGCGCAAGCGCACCTTCCTGGTGCCCTTCATGCTCGTCTCGTTCACCTTCTTCACGGGCCACTTTTCCGGCAAGACGCCGCTGCAGACGTATGCCGTGCAGATCTTCCACACGCTGAAGGCGCCCATGAACAAATACCATGCCACGATCCTGCTGGGCGTGGCCGAGATGCTGTCCACCATACTGGGCGTCGCTCTGATCCACTTCACGGGCAAGCGGCCGCTGGTGCTGATCTCGACAGTGGGCACGGGCTTGTGCTTCTTCGGCACTGCGACCTATGCGCACTTCCTGAACGATGTGCCCGGCTTTGCGGTCAACAATGTCGTGGTGAACGCCTCGGCGATTGTGCCGAAGGGCAGCATCATATCGCAGGCCAACATATCGAAGATATTTGAGAATCAATATCAGGATGAGCTGGWGCATCAGCACCAGCTGCAGCAGGAGCGAGAGCATGAGCTGGAGCAGCAACTGACCACGATGCTGCCAGAACTGGATACGACCACGATAGAACAATTTGATACGACAATGGAGCCATGGAATCGTAGCA